ATAATAATAATAATAATAATAATAATAATAATAATAATAATAATGATGCTGAACAGGTATTTGTCACGGCAAAATATGCTGGAGAAGATAAAGAATTATTTGAACGTAACGTTTATTTGTTACGAAAACAAGCTGCTGTGCAAATGGATAAACAGAACGTTGAATGCTATGTGGTATCACTGAGTTCATCGACTATTGTTTATAAGGTTAGTTAGTATTAGCTTGCTAAATGCTGTTTCATTTACAGTGAGGGGGTAAGCACTTTCATTGAAACAATAATATGGTTTTAAAGGGACAGTTTACACCCGATCAGCTTTATCGCTATTATTCGGATCTCACGAATGTCGACTTCGTGACGCACATCGCCGTCGTGCATAGTCGTTTTTCAACGAATACATTGCCGTCATGGTGTAGAGCACAACCAAATAGGTTTGTTTCGTTAACTGAGTAAGGTTTAATGCAGGTGCACTAATTAAATTGTTTAGAATGGTTGCGCATAATGGTGAGATCAACACGCTTCGTGGTAATATTAACTTCATGCATGCACGTGAAGGTGTAATGGAGAGCAAACTATATGGCGACGACCTCACTAAATTGTTCGTTTTTAAAAGATGATGTTGCAGTTGGTATTATAAATTCACTGTTATTGTTTGCATTTGCATCAGTATTGCACATAGGAATAGGGATTGTTATTGTTATTACCATTATTGTTATCATTCATATTTAAGGTATCCTGTCGTCGAAAAGAATCTAACGGATTCGGGTAGTTTCGATAACGTGATTGAATTTTTGGTTCGTGCTGGACATCGTTCACTGCCAGAAGCCGCAATGACCATGGTGCCAGAGGCATGGGAAAAAGACGAGGTTACTATTTTTATCAGTGAGAATGTTTGGATTTATTGGTTTGAATTATCAATAGGGGATGTGGTTGTATTTATATCGGTTAGTTAAAAGTGTCTTTTGTAGGAAATGGCACCTGAGAGGCGGTCATTTTATCGATGGGCCGCAATGTGTATGGAGCCTTGGGACGGACCGGGTACGTGCTTATCATTTGTTAGCATGTTAAGTAGTGGGATCGCAGCTTTCCTCAAAGTTGTGTTTGAATTCAGCACTGATGGCGTTCTCGGATGGCAGATATGTTGGTGCAATTTTGGATCGTAATGGACTTCGACCAGCACGTTACTATTTGACTGATGATGATCATGTATATTTGTCGAGTGAAGTGGGTGTCATTGATTTGCCAGTCGGATCAATCATCAAAAAAGTCGGTTTATTTTTTCCTTCATTTTTGCATCCTTTTTTATTTATATGTTTATTTACTTCTCAGCCTGCATCATTCAACGAAATTTTTAGCTCTTATTCAATAAATTTTGAATTGTTATTATTATTGTATCTTTCGTTACTATAATTTATTTTCTTTGGCTCAATATTTGAATTATTTTTGGGCCTTTTGAATTCCACACGAATATTGATATCCATTCTCAAACTTTTGCTTATGCTAATATATGTCTGATTTCTCGCAATCGAATACTTTTGCTTGATTTTGTTTAAATTAGCGTAGAAGTTTCAATATTGCATTCATACGTATGGATTCTATTAAACCATCCTCAAGTCATTCAACGATATTTATTAGACTGGCAGAAAGTTCTGGGACAGTTACGAAGGCTAACTGATGTAATGGAACGTTGCGTTTCATTGTGAACTCGTCGTATCTATTGTTGTGCATCGTTTTGTAGCTCATTTTCCGCGCTGTCTGAATATATGCATATTTAGTCTTCATTATTTTAATTTGGAGACTTTCGGAGCATTCGATCCAATCTGTGAACAAGAAAGTAATTAGCGGAATTATGATTTATGAGTTCAAGCTCGGTCATTCGAGCAAACAAGCAACGGCTATGTTGCAAATTGATTCAAGAAGTTCGCTGTCGGAGAAATGAACCTCGAAGACGAACCGGGGTCAGGTCGCCCATCAGACTTGAAGAACGACGAATTGAAGGAGATGGTTGAGTCGGACCCTACTCAATCTCGGAAGCAGATGGCAGACGAACAAGTGTCTGCCGAAGAACCATCTCAACCCACTTACGGCAGATCGGGAAAGTCAAGAATTCGAATCGGTGGGTTCCACACGAGTTGGACGGAGCGCAGCAATTCAGACGTTTGCAAATTTGTTCTTCATTGCTGCTCAGAAACAACAGTGATCCATTTCTTGACCGAATTGACACTGTGGATGAAAAGTGGATTGATTGTGATAATCGATGGAGGTCAGCTCAATGAGTAGACGTTGGCGGGACACCAAAAATGATGCCCAAAGCAAAAATGCACCCTCAAAAAATCATGCTCATCGTTTTCTGGTGTGCCACCGGTGTGATATATCTCGAATTCCTTGAGAATGGGCAAACCATTAACGCCGAATACTACTCTTATACACTTGAGGTGGCAAGGGATCGGTTGTTGAGAATAGGGCCAGCACTGATGAATAGAAGTGTTCCGAGCCTTTTACAGAATAACGCCAGACCACACGCGGCACGAACATCGTTGCAAAAAACTCACCAATTGGGCTCCGAGGTTCTACCTCATTGGCCTTACTCTCCGGACCTCTCGCCAACAGATTATCATCTATTCAGAAACTTGCAGCTTTTCTTGCGTGGGAAAAACTTCCCTAATCAAACCCTATAAAACTTGACATTGGTCGATTTTTTGATTCCAGGGATCCACGTACTACATGGATGAACGCTCTGGTTTTATTTCGGCAGCGTTGTGTAGAGGCGAACGATTCTTATCTTGAATGAAAGTGTTAACTTTGAGCCAGTTATGAAACTTTGAAATTTCGATTTTAACTGCTCCAGAACTATCTGCCTTACCTAATACTTCTATTGCACCACAAGCATTTACAGTCCTCCGTTTCGTTCCTGTTGCGCGCCCACCTTGCTAATAAACATAAAATATCGTGACAATTTTGCGAGAATATATGACTCAAAATATTTGATTCTGAAAAGATTCCATGCTCTTCATAGAGACTTTTATCTCTTATTTCCTCAGATAATCATTACCGATTTAGCTTAACACTTTTGAGAATTTCATATTATTTTTGCTAAAGTTAGATGGTATTAAATGTTGAACAAATGTTGCATGCTGAATTCATTTAGGAAAGTGCATATCATATTTGCACTAAATGTTGAATTGACGTTCAACTTCAGTGCACTTTAAAAGCAACACTCATATCATCTTAATTATAATTCTTATTTCCATCCGCCCATCTATCGATTTATGTACCCATTAATGAGTATTTTGAAAATTGAAAAGTTTTAAGAATGGAGTTATGGTGGAGGTTGGATTCACTATTGTTATTAATTTATTAGGTATATTAGTGCGTTGCCACGTGCATCGTACTTCATTATTAAGTGCAGAGATTGAATATGGACTTTGGTTCCTTTCTGGTGAGGAGTGTATGAGGATGAATAGATAGGTAGGTGAATGAAGGAATTGAATAATTATTATATTATTTGATGGGGATATTCGCTCATGAATGTAATATCTTGTTGAATATGCATGAAGACAGTGATGAATGAATGATTCCAAGTATTCATTATTAGGAGTGCGTACTGTTTGTAAATAGCTGAGTTATAATGATTATAATAGGAAAGATAGTAATGACAAGCACAATGCTAATAATAATTATGATATGCACCAATAACAGTGATAACAGTCAATGCTTTTATTATCTAAAAAAAACTTTGCTACCATTGGTGGTATTATTATAACAGCGAACCAACATAATGATATCGGAAACAATTTGGCGATATGAATTTGCCGAATGAAAAATGATTTGTTAGAAAAAGTATGTTCGATTTTGATAGAGTTATCCACTTGGAATGGATAATTTTATCAGATATTTAAATATTCATATAATAGTAATTGTTAATGATATCATAGTTGATATTGATAGTATCGTTCATCTCATTTGCTTATTTATTCATGCATCCGCACTTTCCCTCATCAAATAATAATAAGCGTTTCGTAGATTATCCAAATCCTGAAATTGATGTCTTATTGAGCAGATGGGTTTCCGGTTATGGATGGAAGCGAAATGTAGAAAAACTCCTTTTTCAAAAAATTTGTGAGATTGCAGGAGAAGAGAAAATTATAGAAGTGAATTCAGTTATACAGCAAATGGCTGGTGGGGAGACGAATTTTGAATGTATGGTAGATTGGAGATATTATTTTGGAATATGAATAAATAATGATTAATTGGTAATAAATTGAATCGGGGAGTTGAAATGGATGAATGTAAATAAGTAATGTAGATTAGGAACGTTATAATAATGATGATAAAAGGGAAGGAAGGAGGAGTGATTAGCAATAAAAATGATTGGAATAAATGAGTGAATTAAAGTGGGGGAGGGAAGGGGGAGGGGGGGGGGGGGGGGGGGGGGGGGGGGGGTAAATTAAGGAAGTGAGTGTCTTTGGAATGAATAAAAAATTTTTTGAGGAGGAGAATCATTGTGGTGGATGAGATGAATGTAAAGCAATTGATCATAATCAGTTGATTAATTGATTATAGCTGCTTGATTGCAAGATAGCACCTAATAACTGTATAGTATCACATATTAGGATACAGCTTGTATTTATATCTGTTAAAATTGTTCACTTTTATTATCCCATTCTCATTATTCATCCATTTTATTATTTATGTGCTAGCAGAATTTGATGAAGAGGAGAAAATTTTGATAGGGGATTTATTATTTGTGGCTGTATCCGCTTGAGAGATAACAACAACTTGACTTAAAATAGATATCATTTTATTGATTTATATGAATTAAAGCTCCGACGCTGCCAGAAGGAATCAGTTCACGTATGGATATACATGCATAGTTGTGATTAAAACGAGTGTGTATGCCGTAATAAATAAGAAAAGAGTAGCATAAAAACAAGTGAACCTTTCCGGTGAGTGTTGACTCGTGCAGATAGCGATTGTTGGTGTTGATGTCATTCAACGAATAAGTTCTCTTACCGAATCTCATCAAAATCTTATTCGGTGCACACTCAACATACATCGAGTTTGAGTGAAAAACACTTATCAATGTCACAACAAACAATACCACTATTACGTTATCTTGTCGACTATTCATTAACCCAACCATATTCAACTGAATAAATATTGTTAACTAAATGCTTATTATTAAAATAACGAATGTGGTTGTACACGAACAATGTTTCATTCATTAGTACAGAAGAAACTTTAACACAAAACAAACCACATATGTAATTTTTTGAACGATTATACTTTAAGTAGTGAAGGGCGCTGCTTGCAGCGGTTTACATATAAGTCAGCAGATATTGTATTATGAACTGAAATTCGAGAGAACTGTTCATTTCAGATGAGTGTTACTTTTAATCGCTTTTGCGAATGGAATTCGGAAAGGAGACTTGTTTGGAGGAAAACAATGGGTTTTTGTTTGTTTCCAGTCAGAAGTGTAGTTAATGTCGATTTTAGAAAGAAACTGAAATTGGAGTTTTGCGCTCGGTTGGTGGTTGAAAATTGAGCAGGTGATATGTTAACTTTAGGAGCAATGACAAGGAAATTTGATGATTTTTGAGATGATTGATAAAAGGATATCATTTTTGTTGGGAAGATGATGATTGGAGGATATGGGATAGAGAATTGGACAAGTGGACGTTTACGTTTCAGTAACAAATGAATTGAGACTTAATTTGGTATTTAGTGGAATGATATATGAGTGTCATTGTTGATATTTAAGAATAAAATAATCGGGATTGGAAAGGAGATATGTGGTATAAATAAGGAATATGGTTTGGTATTATGGGCATTGCTTGGCAGCAGTCGAGCTTTACATAGTTGTTGGTTGAATGAGAACAAAGAAAGCTCTCAAACAAGGTACGTAGGTCACTTCAGTAAACATTCACAAAATGAGCATTCTTTTCGAGCTTTTTG